GGAAAAAAAAAAAAAAAAAAAAAAAAGAGATCCCTTAATGCGGTCTGCTTGGCCAAAGCCCAGCCCTGCCCATGGGGACAGCCTCTGCAGGGGTGAGAGGAGCAGCTTCTCTCCCTCTCCTGCCTGGGGTAGGTCAGAGCATGAGCTGGGACATGGTACCCATTCCCCACCAAGGCCCCCACAAAACATTCAGGTGGCAATTACAGCTGGCAACATCATAATTATGCAGACTCCGGCCCAAATCGGAAATGCCGTCTGTATTTTCCAGCGCTAATTAGGGCTGACCTTGGCAGGAGAGGAGGGAAAAATGAGCATTTCCATGGGAACTTTTTTTGATCGCCTCATTTTAGGGTCAGTGTGTGAGTATCAGTTCTTCTCTTCTGTACTTCAGCCCCAACAGCACGATAATGTCGTGCCAGGGACGAGGAGTGATCTGGAGGTGAGTGGCAGGTAGGCGGGACGCCCTGCTCAGTCCTTAGGGTTTGTCACCCAAGGCCTTTGCCCTGTGTTTCCATCCCTGCCAGAGCTTCAAAGAGACTCGGGGTTTGGCCGACCTGCTGTGCGTGGTTGTGACAGATCCCAGCTGCTTGGAGCAGCGTGAAGGCAGCAGAGCCTTCTCCCACAAAAAAATGGCAATGCTTGCAGTGATTTTGAACCCCAAGGACCTTTGCCTACGGATCCTCTCAGCTTCCTTGCCACCTCCATTGCCTATCAACAAACCAACTCGTTTCTCTTTCACAGATCGTTTTGTTTCCCACTTCTTCCTTTGCCATGAAGGAAAAACAGTCTCAGAGGCTTCCCAGGCTGAGCTGGAGACATGGCTGCTCCCATAGCTACGAGGGAGGAAAATGCCTCTTGTTTTCACACCCTACCTGAAGCACAACAGCCTGTTACACAAAATCAGCAGCAAAGCTCCCCCCACCTTTTGCAAAAAAAAACCCCAACAAACCCCAAAACTTATGTAACTCTGCAACTAATCTTCACTAATCTTGAGCAAGGCATTTAAATCCAGGGAATAAGCCTATTCTTCTTGCCTTCCCCCCCAGCCTATCTGTACAGTGAGAAGGGAAGCAAATAGAAGCAAAGTTCACAGCCTTGTGAATATTTCCTTTCGACGAGAGCAAAGTGGACCGTGTCCTGAGTCTGCTCTGAAGTAAACCCTCCTGCCCTGCCGGTTCCCATGCACAGCGACCGAGGACCTTAAGAGAAAAGCTGCTTTTGGACCGATTATCACTTGCTCGCAGCTAAAGCATGGAAATCTCTACCCTCACAATGTACCATTGCCTTGCTTTTGTCTGGTATTGTTTCGTCGTCTACTCCATCGCGCATGTAAGAACAGAAGAGCGGCCATCTGAAGTGTTCCTCTACGGTGGGCAGTGGAAGTATTTGACAGTCCTCAATCTGGTAAGCAAATCGTGTTGTACAGTGATACCAATATGTCTATTTGTTTGTCTGCCATCTGTGCCTCAAGACATATGCAGCTGGTATATTTGCTGCTGTTAAACTGCTTCCTTTAAGGGTTTGTACCCCAAAGGAAATTAAGTAGGGATCCATGCTCGTGCTGTGAAACGCATTCGCAGGTTTTATGCAGAAAGAATACTGGCTGGCAAGCTGCTTGACTTTCAGAAAGTACTCTGAAGCTACCTGCCTCTTCGTAAGAGACAAGCTATCAGTGAGAAGAGGGACAGACAGATAGGGTTTGTCCAGCCTGGAAGGGTGTAAGTTTGATGCCTGTTATCTAACCCCTAATTCAATACATGCTATAATGCTGCTTGGGGTTTGACTTCAATTTTTCAATAAGCTTTTATGTCTTGTAAATTACAAAAAAGGTAAAATAAAGGATAGCATTGTGCTAATTTTGCCATTGAGAGTACAAGCTTAGGCTGAAAATCAGTCGAGAGAACGAGGGAGAGAAATTCCAGCCGGCAGAGAGAGATGCTCGTGACATTGTTACACGTGTTTTAACAGTGCTATCAACTACTTGCTGCATTTCCTAAAAACATACAGAAGAACTTAGACCATAATGTGCTCTCGTTCTCCTAATATGCTAATATAACACAAGCTGGAGACCAAAATGAAAACACATGAGATACCCTGGGGGAGGAGGCTTGTTCACAGTCCAAGTGGTTCATCAGTGACTCGTGGCAGCGGTGCCAGAAGACTGGGCATGTGGAGAGGGTTCCTACAAGGGACATATTTCTGGGAGACTTGCTAATCTGTAGGATGACCTCAGGTCCCTCCTAGCCTTTCGTCCATTCTGTGAGATTGTCAGAGTTAAATACCAGCAGGAGGTCTAGCCTGGGGTATGTTTATCTCTAATTTTATTCTTCAGAAGACACCCCACGGTGGACTTCAATGGAAGCCTAAGGGCTCCCCAGCTCCAAGTGGAGCCTGTGGAGACCTCTGGGGGTTGGGAAATTTGGGTCCATTCCAAACTCAACCATTCCGTGATTTTGTGAAACATTTTCAACCAGGAGGCCATGAATGCCATGTGAAGTGGCTACAAGAGCCTGGGTTTCAGGCAACAGTGCCCTTCTCAGTGGCCAAGCTGCTGTGGAAGGATGAAGGCACATATCGCTGCAGTCAGGATGGTATATGCATGGTTTGTTGCTATGTTATCTTCATATCAGTATACCTATGTTTTTTGTGATGTTTTTTAAAATTAATTTTTTTGAAATAAGTGGTCAGGGTTCAAAAACCCCAAGGATATTTAATCCATCCTGCTGGGACACGTGTCAGTAGACTACAACACCACCAGCCAAGTCCCAGAGAAGATGTTCCCTGTGTGCCCAGCTCATCTCCTTTGGTTTTTGGATAAAGTGGCCCCATTAAAGTACCAACCATACCCTCAGGCAAAAAAGCAGCTCCATCCTCTGGCACCATTAAATGAGATCTATCACTCAGTACATGGCACAGCTCTAAAGCATGAGATCAAGAGAAGAAAGCAAGTAACCCATCTCCCAGCATTTTGGTATGCAGAAATACTCATTGAAATTATCATCCATCATCTATCTAAAGGAAAAACATACCTGTTTATACTTCTGTTGCCTTCCCTATCCTGTGGCAATGATTGCCACAACTCAGGTGTGCCTTGTGTGAAAGAGCAGCTCGATTTGTTGGTGTAAACCTGCTTCCTGACAACGGAATTGGATCCCCTTGACTTCTGTGTTATAATTTAATCATCTGTCCCTGTTCACTTTTTCTTTGCCACTCATTAGAGACCTCTACCCGATTTTCCCTTCAGTTATGCTTTTCTGCAAGCTGGAAGTCCGAGCCTTTTTCATCTCCCTTCACAAAGGACTGCTTCTTTCATTAAAACATCCTTGTCGCCCTTTGCAGTAGTTTTTCTAGTTTCGGGAAGGGGTAAATAGGGCAGGCTGCAGTCAGTGGCTGAGCTATGAGCACAGCATAGATTTATACAGTGGCCTAAAGGTGTTTCCTTGTCTGTTGTTTACTTTTTCTTAACAATTTTTAACTCTCTGTTTGTCCTTTTGATTACTGGTGAGCAAGGAGCCAGCAATTTGAGAGCGCTATCCACTGAGAGTCCAACATTTCCTTCCTGAAGGGTGATAGTTAATTTTGAGCCCATTGTTGAAAAATATATAATTGAAGTTGCTTTTTTTCCTGAAATGCATTATATTGCATTTACCAACACTGATTTTCACCTGTTATTTCTTTCATGCACTCAGTATCCTGAGACTCCGGCAATTTTGCAGTCAGGCTTTGCTTTGACAGCAAAAAAAAAAAAAAGATTTACAAAGCTTTACCATCTCAGTGTTCACTCCCCTCCCCAGCTCATTTATGAATCTGCTGAACAGCTCAGGTCTCATTAAATCTCTGTGAGCGAGGGACCTTGCTCCACTTCTCCAATCCTCTGTCTCCTGTCTTTTAACCACTTATTGATTCAATCCTGATGCTAAAACAGAGCTGTCAGCCAGCAGGGAGATGGTTTGGGCTGAAGATGCTGCCTTTCTCTCATGTAGAAAATATGGCAATGGGGTGGGGTATGCAAAATTACTCTTTCACAGCTGGTAGTCCTTCTTCTGCAGAGATGTAGGGTTTTTTTCAAGAAAGGGTTGCCAAAGAATGAAAGGGGTCTGGGGAGAGAAATGTCCTCATCCCCTCTTTTTCTGTTGATCTGGACAGCGTTTGAGGGTATCTCTGCATGTCAAAACTTTCCTGAGCTGCTGTATACATGAGGAAATGGGTGAGAAGACAACATGGCCCAGGGGGCTGTGGAGCTCCCTGTGGGACTCCACAGGACCTAGAACAGTTGTCCCACGGTTTGGCATTAAACCACTCCCTGTTGTTGCTGAGGAACATCAAGGAACAAGAGGTGGCTGTCAACCACAGCCGTCCACCAGGGACACACCAGATGCTTTGCACTTCTGTGCTTTTGGAAGTAGTGCCAGGAAACGCCTCAGGATGCTGGGAGGTCCCAGGGAAGAGGAGCAGGGAAAAGCTTCCTGCTGGGCTGTGCTGGATCCACCACACTGGGCAGGGCTGGGCCATGCCTTGGATGCTTCCCCAGAGCCAGGTGGACAGGGTGCTTGCCCAGCTCTTCTGCCTGTCTCCTGCCAGACTGCGATTGCCTGGCTCCTGGCACTGGCTGGCTGAATTGCTTGGAAATTTTCCCCCCAAAATTCCTCTTAGCTCTTTAGAACTGCATTTTAAAATTTCCTTCTGTGGAAAGCCGGCTTGCTCTCATCTGAAATGGAAATACTGGGAAACGTGACATTTTCTGGGGATGGAAATGCAGCTTGACTCCTAGCTCTGCTGGAGGGATGCTGAAGAATTTTTTCTAGATATGACCCTCTTTTAGCACTTCATTCAATTCCTCACTAGTCACGCAGTTCTCCCAAGAGAGCTACAGCTCTGACGTTACTTCAGATTCATTTATCTAGTTAATGATTGCAGCAATCAAGATTCAGAAAGGAAATATTTTTGTAGGGGGGGAAGGGGGAGAAAGATAAGTGGGTTTTGTATCAAAGGAGTTCATTGACCAATTATTGAACAAGCAGAAATGACAGATAAAAACTGTTTTGTGTTCATTTGTCTGTGACACAAAACAGTACAAGCTGAATCATTCATTGCCTGAAATATCCGAGCTTATAAAAATCTGCTCACTGTTGTAAATCTATCAGTAAATCATTGCATAAAGAGCGCACTGCACCTTTAAAAACTATTAATTGCAATCCTGCCCCATTTTATTCCTTATGCTTTTGTCTCTCATGATTGAAATACTTTTCAGTTCTCCTGAAAGCTGTTTTTTATTTATTTCAAAATAGACCCAGCGTTTAGTATACATATTTTCCAGGTTGCTATCATGTGAATGGATATGTATATACACTAAATGTTGACTGCTGTGTCTAATAGCCTACTCAGAATATTGGATTTATCCTCCCTTAAGGCAGAGCTTGGAGCCTGATTTATTTGTACTAGTTGGAGATTTCAATACACACATATGGCCAGATCTTATACGCGAAAGTAAATCATGTCAGGTTAGTTAAACAGAAACATCCCTTTGATCACTGCAGCAGATAAAAATTAAGGTTTGTCTTTGTCACTACGACTCGCAGTTTGGAAAATCAATCTGGCCAAATTAAGCATTTCTACAGCACCTAGCGCCATGGAGCTCTGCAGGGTTTAAAGAGGAAAGCAGCGTCTCTCCAACAGGGATAATCATATCCATATTCTTCTCTTTGGGTAAATCATTAGCTTTCTGAATGCTTCCAGTCTTCCTTCTGTTCGTGTGGGAATACTTTAGGGGATCCTCTTTATTTACAGCCAGCGGATTTATACTCCATGAGTGGCTGCAATGGATTTCTGAGCACCAACACTACTGTTTGGGAAATTCAGAGGACATCTGGAATAATTTGATGTTTTCATGTCAATTTTTTTTTTGTTAACATTTTCCCATTAGTGAAGGGCTGTGAGATTTGGATGCACCTTTCTTACAGGAATAAGCCTGGAAGAGCAGGGGTTTAGAGCTCTGACTTGAGTCTACCGGTGGTGCACCCTGCCAAACTGAGCATTACTAGGGATGGTTCTAGCAAGGTTCGGTTTCCTGGCTTGAAAATTACTTGTATGTTCTTTCACTGCTCCTGAAAATACAGGATGATGACAAACGGAAGGACAAGGGTAGAGCTATGAGCAGTGCAAAAGCAAGCTCCTGAGATGGAGTTCAGACTTCTTCAGAAGTTGTTCTTCTCCATGTTCAGTTGGAGAAACGGGTCAGGTTACACATTCAGACAAGCATTTTCCATATAGAAGATAACATTGTCCTCCCCTGCGTACGATAGAATACCAGACTGGGAATGTGGCTGTTTTGGGACTGTTTCTTTTCAGAAATGTTTGTTTTAGTTAATTTTGAAGGGGGGGAAAGAAGAAGCCTATCCCTGTCCCATGATTAATGTAAGGCTGACCATGAACAAGATAATAATAGCCCCATCCTCTGGGAACCAGGCTTCTCCCTAATTGCTTTATTGGCAATTAGTCACCATGTATCACCAGACTGTCACCACCCTCATGTTCATTTTTCATGCTTTTCACAGAAAGTTACTGCTGACTCTACAGGGTGAAACAAGAGCTTCTGTTTGTTACCAGGCTTTTCTTAGCTCTTAGAGGACTTGGTTTTGGTGTCCTGGTGAGTCCAAGGATTGGGGCAGATGTTTGGGTTGGACACATGCTTGGGTCTGAGTATGCTGCATCCCAGTATGGACTTTTCTGAACTAGACCCACCCACGCCTTGGAGGGCTGAATCCCTACTGACTGAGAATATGCCTGCAGTTACAGAGGCTAATTGTGATAATGGGGGGAGAGAGAGAGAGAAAACCACATTTAAAAGACCTGGTTTGAATGCCTCAGAGTTGACCAAAACCATATGTGGGTACTGAGGAAGCCCTTTGTTTTTTTGTGTAAAAATGTGGCTGTTCACCCCATGCTCTAGAGAGGAAAGGGGGGGCTGTGTAGCTGAATCGAGTGGTGCATGACCTCCAATACCTTGCCCTGGTACCTACAAACTTGGAAATTTGAAGATGGGCATGGTGAAATCACAGTCCCCTCCATCCCTCAGATATTTTGATAATAGAGGAATTTCTGATGGAAAAGCATTGCACTAATTCTGTCCCCTCCCAAGCACCACCCTTCACGGCTCCCTCAGAAACTGGTGAAGTAATCAGCCACAGCTTCAGACGATTCTCTCTAAATAAATATCTGATTCAGAGTAAGATCATGGCAAAAGAGATCTCATCCTGAAAGCTGTAGCACAGCCTCTTTCCATTGCAGCACCGCTCGCTGGCCCAGCCTTTGCAGCAGGCTGCATTTCCCATATTGCATCGCTCTGGGACAACCTGAAAGAGATGAGGCCCCCCTGTGAGTTAACAGAGCTGAGCTCGACTCGGTGCTGAACGCAAGGTAGTGGGAGAAGTATTTTTCTCCTCCGTTTTGCCTTTGTGCGTCTGACGAATCTGGTTCAGCACGATCCGCTGTGTGGCGTTAGGAGAGAAAAACGGAGTAATCAGAAAAGCAATATTAGCTTAAGCCGTCATTTTCTGACCATTTCATACACCGTTTGTGGAATTCTGTTTCGTCACTGTGCATTTACCCCATTCTTGACCAAACCCTCCTAGCACCCTCCCCAAACAACCCTGGCCTCATTACTTGTAACTGATTTAAAGAAAGACAAAAAACCCCACCAGACCAAAACACAAGACCCCCTCTCCCCTCAACTCCAAAATTCATTAGTTATAAATGGTTTAACTTACTCAGTTACTGAAGTCTGCATCTTTGCTTCAAATCTTTTCCTGAATCTCTCCGAGTTCAGCAAAAGAGGTTCTGGTTTTGATAACTCCTGCACCTAATTCTCATGTTAGAGCATTTTGTGCTACTTGACACTGAGACCAACTGCACCACGAGTCCCTGGAGAGCAGGCCCTGGGTTGGCTAAACGGCGGGAGAAGTTATCTAGCAATTCCTTTACAAGAAACATTTCCTGGCATATTTTGTTCTCTCCTGCTCAGATACATTGAACATAACGATTAACATGGGAAGTGTGAAGGATCTGGCTTTCACCATGCCCTTCCACCCCTCCCATCTGAAGCACATCACACATCTCTGTTTAGTCTATTAAACGAGATACTGTTAGAGTTATATCCCGAACAACTTTATTTAATCAGTTTCAGTTAGTAAAAAAGATTTAGCCAACAGCTATTTCCCTCACACAGGCTTGCAGCTCACGAACAAAACAGCTCCCTGAAGAGCAGGAACAGAGTTCATTGAGGAACGTGCTAATTAAAGCTGGATGAGTTTCCCTCATTAGGTGTAATTACTTTAGCTTTTGCAGGCTGTCTTCTATGGGGTGTCCTTCCTGGCTGATGTGTTGAGACTAATTAAGAAACTGCGATGTGCTAAGTGCGTAATTTCCAGCAGAGACCTTCTTTTCAGTGTCCTGGCTTTCCCAGTGTCCACAGTAAGTAACCTCTGTACATAAAAATAATGTTTTCATAAATGATTAGGGGTGTATAGCACAACATGCACATGTATAAAATAGATAAGAGACCTGTAGGCTCTCTTTTACCATTTGAGAGTGGATTTGGACCATTTAGAAGAATAAACAGTGCTGAGCCTGTTACAGTTGGAAGCAAAGCCTCTTGCACAAACTTTAGGGTTGCTGTCCCCGAGCGAACACAGATTGACCCCCAAAGGGTGAATGAGGTGCAACCTCTCTATTAATCTCATGGTCCAAATAGCCATGGAATTATCGACTTAGGGCATTTCTCTAAAGGGCAGCACGGGCCAGGAGGACATGAGAGGGTATCTAAGAGGCATCAAAATCTCACATCTCCTCCTCTGACTTCAGCATGGCTTTAAATAATCGCTGGAGAGAAACAGATTCACGGAACAATAATTATAATCATAGCCAGCATCAGATTCACCACGGACCACCTACTCCCTCACAGATAATGCTGTTTATCAAAATGCTGTTTTGCTGGTGCTGTGGGTTGGATGGGATCTGATGGGTTGCTTATACACGTAGGTACCTCTCCGTGTGAATAAAGCCTGCAGCCATCTCTGAATCTCAAAGGGCTGAGAAGCGCTGCTTAAATCTGCTCCACAAGCAGCTCAGCCAGCTGGCTCACTAAAAAAGTCCTGCCAGTGTTGGAGACAGAGAGATTGGCTAATTTATCTTCCCTGCATGGCAGTATTCATGATGCTGCTGTCATATCCCCCCCAGGCATCCTCACCGTGCCGCAGGACAGAGGTGCAGGGTAGTCTCATTCTTCCAGCATCTCACACCCTGATGTCCAACCCCAGGCACAAAGTGTGCTTAAATACAAAGCCAGGCCAAAAAATAAGTGCAAATCTGCTTCCAGCTATCCATAACCGATACCAGGGTGCATTTCCTCCAATTAAGTTCTCCCAACGTAAATCCACCTCTGTTAGGGAAAAAACGGGTGCCCACGGTGCAGCTTGCACCTGCAGTTTATGGATTAGTCTTAACAAATTGTGAAGGTAAGGGTAAGTTTTGAGTGAACTGTCTTACCAAGATCTGTTTTTACTTTGTTACTGAGCAGAACAAATGCTATAGCTTGACAACCAATCCCTCTAGAAGAACTTCTGGACCATCAAAAGATCCCATCTGCAAAGAAGAGAAAAAAAAAAAAAGGAAAAAAAAATAAAGAAGTTTAAAGCTAATCTAGTATTCCACAGAAAATGTCAGTCTTAGCAGTTTATAAAGAGGTTTTTCTCACAGTATCAACACAGAACGCTGCACCTCAGAGTAAATACCTTTCTTTATGTTGTAACATGAGATACGTGAGTTTATCTGGCAATATCACCATTTTTCATGTAGGAAATGTTTTTCCTTCTTAGAAATGAAAGCATTAGCCAAATCCCATCAGTTATGTCTGTCGTTTATTTTGAAATGTCTTCCATTTTGTATTTTGGTTCCAGTTTGTCTGTATATCCTTTTGGACACTGTATGCCTACAATCGAGAGCTGGTTTACCCCAAAAGCCTTGATGGAGTCATCCCGCTCTGGTTAAATCACGCTATGGTGAGTAAGAAGCTCCCCTGCCTCTCACGGAGGCAACACGTGTCCCACCGTGGCATTGTGTCTCTTTCCAGAAGAGTTTCATGGCTGCTTCTTTCTCTCCTCCTCCTTCCCACTTATCCAAATCTGATGTTGAGCTGTGCACAGCAACCAGATGCATGTGCTTGGAGTTGCCTCGAGAAGCCTTTTAGCTCACAAGGAATGTCAGTGAATTGGTGCTTGTCAAACCTCTGAAGTCAATGAAACGATGTGTAGGCACAGGGAAAAAAAAAAAAAAAAAAAAAAAAAAAAAAAGAAGAGAAATCTCTTCTCAGTTATTGTAGCTCAAAAAATAAATTGTTTCTGCAAACAAAAGTCTATGAAATACAAAATGGCTGGGAGTATAACAAAGCAGTTCTTAATTTTTTAAAAAGGTGAAAGAACCGAAGAACATCTGACAGCTCAACAGCTAATAAGCTAATGTGTGCACAGCTTTGAATAGCTGAATTGCAATGATTGTTTACAGATTTTCTATAAATACTTTCCAGATTTCTCCTTCATTTGCTCTGGCTGTTTTTATGATGTGTTGAATAATCACATATTTCTCATCAGTCAAGTGTAAGGAGGCTGACAGTAACATGGAAACCGTGGGCGGATTGTAAGGTCAGGGAGGCCTCGTGGGGCTAACGGGAAGGGGGAGAGAAGGGAGAGGTTCAGCCCTAGACTGAATCAGAGAAGCCAGAAAGGATGAAATAATCACACAGAAGACTCATTTCTCTCCAGACTTCATTTCTTAAGTACAACACTTTGCAACCCACTGCAGCAGTTCCCGATGTGTGGGGAAGGGGAACACGGGAGGCTTTGGGGTGTCTGGCCGAGGACGTTCACTAAAGGTTTTGAGCAGCCACTTGATTTCGACAGGCAAATTCAGATACGTGTGCCTGGAATCCAAACACACATTGGCATGTCTGCATTAATGATATCCCGGGGATAAACTGCAGCCATCCTGCACTTTTAACCTTATCACCTGCTCTCTGCTCACCCATCCATCTCCACCGGGGCCATCACGCGGCTGTCCAAACCTCCGCATGGATGCAAACAGGCACTGCTCTTTCTCAAAACCATCATCCACTGAAAAGAAAGCATCACGCTGGTTTCAGGTCCAGGATTTGGTATGGGTGACTGGTTGAAGTTTGAAATTTTCATGGGAAAGAGGAGGGCACAGGGTGGAGCTGAGAGGAGATGGGCTTTGCTGCTTGTTTTAATCCCCGCACACAGCTGAGAATTTGCCCTTTCCATCTCCACATTTGTTTATGACATGGGAAGGTTGAGAGGTGCTAGAATGTACATTTTTATTTCATGTGCAAGAAGTCTTTGCAGGAATCCCTCAAACATATTCGTTATAACTTTTTTCTTACCCTACCTACATCTACATTTCATAACAGAGTCATTCTGACAACAACAAAAAGCTTTTCCACTTCAGAAATGTCAAAAACAGGTGTTAAAAAAGGAAAACAATTCTTCCTCAAAATTATTTTGACGAGAGAGAAACTTCACATAAAGCAAACCTCTATCACAACCTAGTATTTTATTTCTAAAGCTCTTAATACAGTGCAGACATCTTGTGTTTGACAGTTCCTGGGTGGGAAATTTTCCTTCCAGTCACTATCAAGTGTAAAACATCTGCCACCGGAGTAGAGTGATCCCCACTATTGACAAGCCCCACAGCTTGGGACACCTTCCCCCAGGTGCCTTCAGGCTTAGGCTGAGGCATTTCTTTCTTCCCACTCCAAATATCCACTAGGAACACTGGGAAGATCCAGGGAGTTACCAACACTTTAAGGGACATTCTCCAAGTTCTGATGTCGAGCAGGCACTTCTTTGGGTTCATCTCCTTGAACATTCCTATACTGTATGGCTCTGAGATTACAGACATTTCATGGCAGATCGAGGCAGCATCTTGGCTTTGGGTGAGAAAGATACTGGCGTGTCAGTGGTAGACATCAGTGCCGTATCATTTGCAGTGGGAGTATTTGGTTTTTTTTAATCTTGGTCTATTTTAACATTGTAAATAGGGAAAGCATATGTTGTTATGTAACTGAAGAGGGAACCTAAAAAATAATCATGCAAAACCACTCAAGTTCCTTGAGTTCGCAGTGGTGCTGCAGCATTTCCCTTGCAAAAGTGAACTGGCCATTTATTTTTCTCACATTTACTGCTCTTGGAGTAGGGAAGTGTTGCCCACCTGGTAGCCCAGAGTCATACACAGCATTATTTTTTTGGCATGTTTTCGTACTCTGAGCCAAGAAATTTTTTGTTTTGCAGAAAGGTTGGCTAATGCAGGAAGGGATCTTGTTAATATTTGAAGGAGGCCAAATACTCCAGACTACCTGGGTTTCTCTCTTTGCCTTTCTACTGGGTTTAACCCAAGGGCTGCACCTCAGTTACCACTTCTGTTTGTTTAGGATAATTGTGTTTTACCATCTTTATACAAAGCTTTGAGCTTCAGGGATGAAAAAAACCCAACCCTACTTATGTCTCAAGCACAATTATTTCACTTGAACAAGATTTTCGAAGTGGAAGATGGCCGAGACAAAAAGATACGCTGGCCAATTCGTCAAGTGAAGTTGTTTATTTCTTTCCCAGTCATGTCTTTTCAAGCAACATCTGGATACTCTCCAGAAGGCGACTAACTGCTGGAGACAGCTTGGATTAAATCATATGCATGTATTATTCAACTTAATGGCAGTATAGGGGAACACTGCATTCTGAAAGGTCTGACAGAATTGAACGCTAAACAATGAGGGGCAATGGTGGGTCAGAAGAGATCACTCAAAAATATTTTGATCTACAACAAAAGAGAAGGTACACATCAACATTGACCAGATGTGTTCACAAAAGAGGTAACGGTACAGTTGCCTTTTTGTAAAGGAGGTTTATATTTTCAGTCTGTAAGGCACGGTTCTTATAAAACACAAATTTTCTTGCAAAAAGCACCATTTTCTTTATTTTCAGGCTGCAGCTAAGTTCAGTTTATCTATCTCTTTTCCTCATTTATTCTGTATCTGCTACCCTCTCACCTTGACAAACATCAGCATTTTAGTGTCTTGGGTGCTTTACTGACATGTACTTGTGAACCGTGCATGTTCTGAAGACCTTATAAACTAAATAACTGAGAATAAAAAAGGAGGGATGGTAGATGGAGGCACAGAAGAAAAATTACTTACCTGGCAGACTTTCAGTAAAAAACAACAAGAGAGTCCACGTAGTCCAAGCCTCTCAAGCTCCTTTGCCCCAACAAAGAGTAGCTAATCAGTATCTGAATGCAAAAGGAAAATGTAGGGGAGTGAGAGAACCACCTGGATGCATACGAGTAATTTTCCTCCTCTGAAGCAAGCCACTGTTCCCTGACAGTAAGAACACCAGCAAGACTCATCATGTCTCCTCTCATCTGGAGCTGCTCGGTGTTTACCTCGCTGAACCATCACCTGCCCTAGTGTGGACACAAGTACATAACAGAAAAGTTATTTTGGATCTGTATTATTTACCTCCACCTGGTAAGGAAATAAGTTGTATGAACACAAACTACTCTTACTCCCATCCTATGTGAAGGATTATGTCTTTCTGCAGCTATTTGAGGAAGCTGCTGCAACACTAACCAACCAAGGGAGTGCAGAACCCATTTGTCCAGGCCACTCTAATTGGACTCCTGCTCCAGGTGTCTACACAAGAACCACCTCAGGTTCGTCTTTGGCCATCAAATTATTCTCCTTGCAATTGGTATTTAATGCTTAATAATTCTTGCATATTCACTCAAGAGAGAAAAAATTCCATTTGTTTGCATTTCACAGTATCTCAGTTTTAAGCTGTCTGGCAACGGTGGACATTCATAGCCTTCCAATTACATTCAGCTTTTGGCACAGAAGAAGAATGTGTGTGTGAGGGATATGGCACACGAAATTCATCACCCCACGCATTTAAGAGCAAAGATGCTTAGCTTTCCCCAGCACTACATACATGTAAATTTTTTTGAAGTTTCCATTTTTGTTGACATAAGCCCGTTTCCTCAGGGAGAAAGTATCTGTTTCACAGACAAATGTTATGGCAGGGAATCCTCCCGGGCTGCCGCTGCCCCGACGCACACAGGTGCAGCCTCCCAAATCCACCCCGAGAAGGAACAGCCGGAGCCAAATATTCCACGGCGAAGGATGTGACACTTCAGTCTCATGTCAGCTTCCAGCTGCAGCGCAACATCAGCTTCATCAGGCGAGGTGTCTAATGTCAGGGAGAAACGCAATTAAAATTCTGGCATTGACACGGAGACAAAACATTTGCTAGCAAGCAATAGGATATCCATCCAGGGCCCGATTTCCAGAAATGCGTGCGTGTCTCCAGGAAATGTTATCTCTGAAGCTCTTTTGCCTTTGATCAGACGATTGGTCTGACGTTCCATCCATTTTCACAATAACGCTCCCAAACTACCTACGTGTCTCTGAAAGAGCAGGGGAAAAAAAAAGAAAAAAAAAAAAAAAAAGTCACTTCTCAGATGAGTATAGAATGGACCTGGAAAAGGGCAGAAAGAGATTGTAGCTGACAGTTCAGAGAGAAGTCCTCCTGGAGTTAAATTAGCAATAGCTTCCTGGCTAATTTGTCACCACACCTGCTCAGTAACCGGACTCCTTGTACCTCCCCCTCAATCCAAAAAATAAATCTGCGCTTCCCTGAAAATGCACTGATGGCTCAGAACACAAAAGACAGGTAGTAACGCTGAGACAGAATGATCTCTTTAACTAAATATTTTAATCAAGGCGATGCATGAGTTAAAGAAATAGAATGAACAATAATGTTTAAGCCCCTTCCATCCTGAAAAATTAAGAGAGGTTAAGAGAGGAAGAAACATGTATAAGGTCAGATTATAAAAGAAAATTTTCAAGGAGGCATTTGAATGAAGGCAGCATGATAGCAAAATAAATCAAAAGAGGGAATTTATTCCAAAGTGAAGCCAAGAAAGGAAAGAGCATACAGAGATTCAGAAAATTATGAGGGGTATAAAACTAAATAGAGGTTATGGTGACAGGAAGCCATTTGGTTTTATTACAGGCAGATAACACAGGCTGTGATTGTTTATAAAAGCATCCAACCCAAGGAAATTTCCATCGAGGAGAGGACGTTTCCAACAAAGAGCTGAATAACTGAGTAAACATCTTGAGGGTCAACCAGTGCACACGGGCTTCATGAGCCTCATAAGACGGCACCAAAGTGGGTTTTAACTTTTTCTTCGCAATAACGTACCGACGGAGAGTATACAAACATGAGTATGGGCCACGAGTGGCTGTCGGCACACACAGCTCTGCGGGGAATGGGTCTGAAAGGAGAAAACACGGGCAGTTTTTCAAAAGCACTCGATGGCGTCCAACTGCACCCCGTGGAGTTGAGCTTGGCCAGGGGTAACTGTGAAAAATCCCCCGCTAAAAGTCTCGCCCGTTAATGGAAAGCAGACAAGGAGGGCGCGCGCAAACGCAGACGAATTAGAAACAAACAGCTCAGGTCAAGCGAGGCATCGCTTCCTTCGCTCTGGAGTCAAACGGGGTCACACCGAGTCAAACGGCCACGCACGCGTTTAGGCGTATGAGTGATCTCAGCAGCTCTGGGGAGATGATTATTCACCGGCTTAAAACTCAGCCTAGGCTGGAGCTGGCAGCTGAGCACAGGCTCTACCCAGCCCTGCCTCCTCAGCCCCAGGAAACCCGCTTCTACTTACGTTCTCCACAGCGAAAGGAGGCTATAATGTTGAATAAATACACAAATTACTCAACATATACTGGAAGTAAAAATTCCATGTGGTCTTACTGAGCAGTGGAAATAATATCCAGAGAGGACTATTTATCTCAGTTTAAACTCCTGAACCTGAAACGTATCCTGGGAAACATACAACATAGGGTGGGAAACAAAAAAATAAACAGGAGAATGTTGTAATTTCATTCTTCTCCACAGGAGATGAGTTATCATGCCAGTAAGTTCAGCATATGTTTAATAAACTCTTTTTTTCCCCCTATTCAGATGACAGAGTTTATGAGCAACAAAAAGATTTTTGCAATTTTACAGCTAGTTCAGATTCACCTGAGTTTGTCAGGCAAAAAGCAAAGAAACCAAACCCAAGTTAAAAAAACGCAAGTGCCAAAAAGAGCCACAGAGGATTTTTAAATCAAATGTTTGGAATTAGAATTCAGATTACAAGTGTGATTAGTTAACAGAATGTCTCTGATAATTTGGAAAGTCCCATAACTTTTATATTTCCACTGTACAAATAAATAATAATAAGAAAAGAGCATTTAAAATACTTATATCATTACAAAATTTGTAAACTGAAAGCTTTCCTCAACAAGCAGAGGTTATTAAACAAGTAAATATACTAATATTTCAAAGGATACAAAAATAAGTACTAACAGGATTCCTGCCAAGAGAAGAAAAAAGCTCTCTGATTCATCTGGGTTCATTGATAGCCTGATCAGTACATGCAGCTATTGTTTTAGCCTATTTTCTTTACCTTGGAGTGAAATAGGGGTTTTCTCCCTCTGTGATAATTATTTTTGACAGTTTCACTGTTTATATGTGAAACTGAGAAACTGTTAATTGAAATAAAAAATGAGTCACTGTTTCCAACGATTTTTGCCAATGTTTTGATCTATGTCAATCTCAGCTTAATTATTAAGTTTTCTTTAAAGCAAGATGCAAAACTGTATATTTGAATTGGGCTCCATACAAATGCTGCGCTTTTCAGACATATGTCAGTTTAAGGATATAAAGCGCAGCTAAATAGGGTTGAAAGTATATTTAATGACCATACACTAGAGACCTATGGTAAAAATAACACAAATGAGAAAATACACTGGGTTTTTTGAGAAGGATACGCGAAGTCTTTAAAGCCTTTCAGCAGATATGATTAACTATGATACATGGTCTATCGCTAATGATGCTGCCAAAGTCAACGTCTATCGGCTGTGAGAAGGAAATCACTTGGAAAGCCAACTGCGTGTCATAGGCAAAGGGCAGACTCTACACCCCATGGCCAACCATGCGTTCCTCTGGTGTCTGATGTATAAATAACACATCTGCTCTCATAAACACGCTCAGTTATTCAGTTGAAATTCCACCGTGATTTTACTGTTAATAGGCAAACTGGGCTGGGCAGAAATGGGTGAAGTCAACAGCAGACCCCAAGATAGCAGAAGTGCAAGGGAAGACCTTCTCTTGTGTTTATTGGGCCTGGGGTATGTGTGTACATGATGAGGAAAAAGGAAAGAAAGGAAAAAAAAAAAAAGCAGCTTTATATGCATAAGGGAAAAATGCAAACCCCAAAAATTTTCATCCTGGTGCCTGAAGTAGCTGAGAACTGTTGGAGGAATCTGTCTCAAGAAGGCATTTGCATGGCAAGTTTAGATGGCCCTACAAAAAGCATCTCTAGTTAATAGACACAGTGATTCTCTGTAACTAGGAATAAGCTAATAATCTATTAATAAATAAAATTGGATTAATAGAGGGCAAAATATTTTTAAGATACAATTATTTGTACAGAAGACACAGCACACATTTTCCTAAGTTGTCTGCCAGTGTCATCATTGGACTTGGGAGGAAAGCAGCTTTTCTATGCCACAATATAATTTTTTTTTCTTTTTCCAAATTATGATAGATCCAAAACCTTTAAGAAACTATTCACAAAACAAGAGGAAGACAGCCCCACTCCTGAATGCTTTCATTGCTCTTGGCGGCGGAAGCACCCTTCCAAGAGAGTGGGAAGCTCAGATTCAATCCCCTGTGAATCAGAGAGAGCAGATATTTGAACCTACCTCTTCCACTAAACTCTTGGCTATTTCCAAAAGCAGCCAAACTTTCCAGCTTTGCCAGTGACTTTCAAACTTCTTTTGATTTATGCCCCCCTGAGTATTTTCTCTAACTCCTCCGTAAGTGGAGGAGCCCGCCAAAAAATGACTAGTTAAGCAGATCAGCATTTTCTAAATCAACGCAGAACAAAAAGAAGAGCTCCCAACTGTCTTTTGCAATCACTACTAGTTTCCTACTCATCCCCAGTACCATCTGTTAGACTATCAGGCTCCCCCTCACCATTCCCAGCTTGTTGCTCCCTGTGACTGTATCATGCGGTCCTTGTGTCCTATTTGTGTGCTGCTGCAGGGTCCCCCCAGCCATCAGGCAGTGCAGCGCTGCTCACTCCCGTCAGGCAAATGAGAAATTGCAAATGAGGTGCAAAGCTCTGCTTTTCTCTCCACTCCCCCCTTTCCTGCAGGATTCAGGTACTGTAAGGCAGCACAAAGACGTATGAACTGAGAAAGAGAAGCTGGCTAAGCGAGTGGAGACAGTGGTGGTCTCAGTTATACTAGCTTGCTCCCATCAGAAGAAAGCCCCCATTTCTCCACGCTTTCATCCTCTGCTTCTGGATGTGTGCACTTGCACCAGCTCTGGAGTCTGCATGGCCCCTGGTGAGCTGGATCAGAGGAAAACAGAGGCTGGGTCAGAGATGCCCAGAGGGTGCTTGGTAGAATTGCAATCAATTTCTTGTCTAGCTTCTCCTGTAAAGGACTTGCCCAGCTCCCTTCGGTGGTCATTTCCCTACTTGCCCTTGCTACCTGTTTCCCAGTATGATGCTACATCTCTTGAGAAAACTGGGCCAATCACTCTTGGTCCTACCCGCGATGGGCATGGAAAACTTGCCCATTGCAGTCATCCTTGTATCAACCTCTCAAACCTTTGAAGCCTCATTTTCTTTTTCTCTGTAGATAAAAGAATGCATTCAGTCCTGATTTCTATGCCTGTCTTTGGACTGCTTTCCTGTTCATACTGTTTTGCTGTTTGTGCTGTCCTTTTCTGGACTTGCTCCAAATTATCTCCACCTCTCAAAATGGGGTGCCTTATATCAGAGACAGAATGCCAGCCAAAATCTCGTCAATTCAAGTAAAGCAGCATAGTTACTTCCCAGGTGTTTCTTACACGTAATATTCCTGTTAATACCATCCCAGAATGCCACTAGCTTTTTCTATTAAAGCAGCACCATACTGCTCACTTGTACTTTCTTAACATCCACTCTGAGAACAAAAAGCCCCAAACTAAGGAAATAAGTATATAAAATAGCCCCCACCTAAAAACTGTTCAATTCAACACAGGATTATTTCACGAGGTCACTCATACTAAATCCCTCTTAGGACAGCAATAATACAGCTGGAACAAACAGCTTATAGTTCTTAAAAGTGTTTAAATTAATTAAAAGACTAGCATGGACATCTCATATTTCCTAAAGGGATTTTGTAGCCCACTGAATGTCAAATGAAAACCAGGACTTATATCCACTTCACAGAATGTACAAATCCACTGTGAAAGGCTAAAGCCTCCTAAAAGTGAGGACAAAGTGCAAGGTTTCCATCATTGCTGTCTTGCACGGGCATTTTGTGATTTATTCAAATATAAACTTTTGACCACCTATGGAAAACAAACTCTTTAAAATCATTCTAAAAGCAGCTTAACACATAGATTTCTAACTAAAAAACAGTTACAGGCATTGTATATGAAAGCTGTGTGCACCGAAGACATTTTTCTGGTTAAATGATTCCAGGAATCACTTGTACTGATGCAAGGAGACCTCTGCTATCAACCAAGCGGGTTGTAGAGAACAGAGGAAAATCTTAGTGCCAGAAAGTGAGAGGAACAGGAACATCAAATAGATCTTTTCCATCTCTTTTCTCTGAAATACGATAACTGAGATGGAAGGGTTATTTTGGTAGTAGGACAGCCAGGTATGAACAGCAGCTCCCGGGGGTGTGCTGGGGGGCCTGAGGGAAGACACAGAGCTTCCAGTGAGCTCTCACTTGGCAGCGCCAGAAAAAAAGGGATGTCTGCCTCTTAAACAAACAGGTAACGAACGTTTTCATGCACGCTGTATGTATCTCGATGTGCATTTAAAGAATTTAATGTGCATTTGTGGCAACTTAATAGTATAAACGTACGGCAATAAAACTTTCACCCCATACTACCGTATCAGATGCTCAGCACAGCTTCTGACAAATATGTACATTGAAGGTATGTACTAAAACCACTTCCCTGGGACAAGAGGAAACTTCGTACCGCACACCCAGCAGGTTGTGCCTTTAGCAGAAAACAAAAAATTCATTAGTTTGGTGGTTTTTTTCTGTTTAAAAGTCTATCTTTCTCTGCTGCCCTTCCCCACTTCCTCCCCCATCTACTCATGAAACTGTTTGCTTAATAGGAATTTAAAGAACTAGTCGCCTACAGTTTTTTTCTCCCATTGCACCTCATTGACTGCTTTTGCTGTGTTGTTCCCCAGCCTTGTTTAGGCCTTCTGTCATAGGTATGCAACTTAAATTGTTTCCTTGCACAGGGAATATTACAAGATTTTTAGTGGGGAAATTTCACCCCAACAAATTATTTCCCAAAGTTGCCACAAATCAGCCAACAAGTTGAGGTGTTAGCATCCCAAGAGCCCCACGCTGTACATTTAACATCCAAGCCCAGAAAGACTTCTGCTGTGGTCCCAACTTCCCTGTGGGTGCGCAAGTGTGGACCGTCCCTCTAGGAGGCAGATCCCCACCATCACTCAGTGCCACCAAGCTGTCTGCCCTGTGCTGAGAATCCTTCATGCTCAGACAGTTACCAACATAAAAGCCCTTGAAACTGAAGCTGCTTAATATAATTCAAACTCTTTGACTAAAAAAAAATAATAAAAGAGAGATACAAGGAAAAAAAAGCTTCTCCAGCAAGCTTACTTTTTACTAACTCTTGGTTAAGCTTGTTTGAAGTTCCTTCATCATCTTGAATCACAGCTAACTTAAGTCCTCTGTATGTTTACCACCACGTTTTCACTTGACAAAGAGAAGCAAAACACATTGCATTTGCACTGGAGTAAATAATAAATGACAATATATAAAATGCAATAATGAATTGAAGAGAACATGAAGGCAATTTAGCAATTGCTTAACGACTTCAAGGAGGAGACCTTTAACACCCTCAAGCGCACATATCAATAGACATCAGTATCTTTTGTACTCTAATGGCAATTACCAAAGAAATGTATTGCATTATAAAATGGCAGAAAAAAAGCTCACCTATTATAAAGTAACAGAGCTCATTCTACAACCAGACCTAATTACAGTACTTTTTACAGCACACTAACAAGAAAATTTCCACTCTCGTTACTGCAGGGGTACTTCTTCACTATAAAAAAAAATGAAATATGTACATTTCTATACAACTACACTCAATATTGTCATATAATGTTTTGCTCATGGGCAGGCTCTTCAGCTTCACAGTCAGCAATGACCAAAGATGAGGCACTGCGACCAGTCAGTGACGGGCTTTCTTTTCTCCTCAGCACACAGCTGTATTACCATTTGCTGTCCTGGAAATCCTTGCCACACCACATCGCTACCCGGCAAAGAAGAGAGGAGTGACCCTATTAGGATTTGTTGCTTTTCTGTATATCAGTTGGTAAGAATTACACACTTTAAAACATTTTCTTCAAGTCATCTACTTTGTGAAATAAGGCCAAATGCGGTACTTAGATTTAAATTCCCTCCCAGGCACATGGGAGACAGCAGTCTGCTCTGTGGAGAAGTCATTTAAACTTCAGCTGAGATCCATGAAAACTCTTTCCAGACGTAGGCAGAGCAGGTTTCTTCAAACACAATACAGGTCCCAAGAGCATACATAGCATCTCCTGCTCTCTTAAGGCCTCTTACAGAAAAGCAATTAAATTGCCATAAACTCTGGGTACTTTGAGTTATTTATGCTGGGCTGAAGTTTTTGTTTCTATGAGTACCACCAAATTTACCTCTGCTTGCTGTCTTGCTCACTGCAAAAACACCAAATCTCAAAGGTCTGGGGGTCACGGGAGCAGAGGAGGAGTAAAACTCCATTTGGTATTTGACAGGGACACATGGCTGGGTTCAGAAACCTGAGACAGAAAATGATACTCCGAGCCAGGTGCAAACTGATGGGTAGCAAGGAGGCATCTGCCCCACTACCACCTCCCACTCCACTGGTGGACACCGCCCACATTTCCAGCAATGTGCTACAGTTGGAGGGTGATCCTGAGAGAATAAGCTATATCTCACCGCCCTCTCTTCAGCCCATAGCCATCTACCCACCTCCCGCATGTGTCCCTGGAGCTGCATTTGCATCCACTCCTGCTCATTGCATCCCAGCTGCAGCGTCGGGGTCTAGAGGTCTAGAGGCACTGCCCATTCCATCTAACTATGGGCAACTGCCAACACTTCAGATCCCCCCAAGTATGCCTTATGTTGAGACTCAGCTCAGGAACAGGCCCATACAGTTTCAGGGCAAGCTGCAATATCACTTTCCACAGCTCAGGAAACACCTGGGACCTAGGGTGACAGATACCAAACAACCAGTCAGTAGGGAGGTGGTGTCCTCGTGCAAAGATTTCTGAGAATTCACTGGGATTATGAGGGAATCCATCCTTCCCATTCCTACCCACCAGTTATCACTCCCAGCTACAGACTACCTCCAGCCCACCAAATGAAAATCTGGAATAGAAAATAAACTGCACAGATGAGACGCTCTTGTGACTTGAAACCCATCAGAGTGGCTGTAGAAGCAATGGACTTCACTGCTACACTACATAACCAAGTTAGGAGCCATTTGTCCTAATCCAGTCCAGAGCCTAATAGGATTACGACCACAGCTTTCTAAATTCCTTTTCTATGTTCTGGTTCACCCACCTGCTTAGCACCAGCTTTGTTTTGCTTGTCTTCTGACAGCATTTGATTTTTAGTGTCTTCGAGACCAGACAGCTCTCCAGGCAACTTTTGCAGTCACATGTGCCATGCTTTCCCCTAAAGCCCCTATGGGCTGAGCAATTTCATTCCACAGGAGGCACGGCTCATCCTGAATCCTCATCAAAAGATGAGGATCAACACATTTGAGCACCCCAGTATCTTCTTTGAATTGGTGTTTCATGCTGCCACTGTGGTCCTGAGTGGAAGGTGGTCCCTTAGAGCACTTGTCTCCCCTGTCCCAATAACTGGATAAATGTTGCTTTCTTTCCTCCTGAGGCAGCAAGGGACCTCCTGTCTGCTTGCTTTTTCCCTCCTTATCTTGGTTCCCTGCAACCACAGAAAACAGCTTTCAACTAACAGAAAAAATTTTTAGCCTGTGCAATGAAATCTTAACACAGGTTTGCATTTTACTGTGGGTGCTGCAACTTGGTGATTTAATAGCCCCATTTAGGCTCCTTGTGCTTCACAAGCAACAGAGTCCTTCCTAAAAGCCTCTCCTTTAAATGTCACAATCCTTCCCCGGCGTCCATGGGCTGAGTCTGAAGTGCAATCATTTGCTACCAGCCACTCTTATGAGCCATAAGTAATTAAAACAGTATCAGTGAACTGACAGGCTAAGTAGAAGCAGCCCTATAAAGCAGGACTTTATTCATCCTCCCTTTTCCTTCTTTCCCTTTTCCAAACAGTGCTTTGCAAATTGTTCTGGCACAAAGGAGCAAAGCAGCTACATCTGTTTCCTGCCTACCTGCTCCTCCTCTCCTCTTAGACCAAGAGAAAAGGTGCTGGAGAATTCCCCTTGCCCTCTTGCCTCCTGCAAACTTCGTTCCACTCCCCAAATAGTAGTCAACAGTGGCAGGATAAGGACAGTGGGAAACAGCACTTTCTGTCCCCACAGACCCTTAAGATCTGGATAGGGGCTGGAAAGCTGTTGTAACTAAGAGCAAACACATATGTAAGAGCTTATTTGAATAAGTTTCACTGAGTATAGCCAAGTGCACATCCCTGTTTCTGAGCATTTTAATGCATTAATAGCCAATGCCACCAGGGTGACAGCAGAACATCGTGTTCATTTCAACCTGCACTGAAACCCAGCTCGTCTAGCAGTGGCTCAAGTGTGCTTCACATCAAATAGCCCAAATGTCGAGGAGATGTATTGACAGCTGAGCTAATTTTCTCTGTATCAAGATTGTTTTGATAACTTGGCCCTTCAGGATTTAGAAATCATGAAGTGGTTCTTCTAACTAAATGGTTCTAACCAAAGGTCATTTCTCTCCTTGTTTAGGGTCCTGTGGATTTATTCTGTAACAGGAGAGTGGGTATATCCTCTCTTTGCTTCGTTCAGCCCAGCTGGGCTAGCAGCCTTTTTCGCCGGTAGCCTTGTCGTCATCATCTCTTTCTACAACTTCGGGGAGTTCCTCAACCGTATGATATGGGGTAAGTCTAAGTTTCGTTTTTCACTTCCATATGAAAAAAATAATGATCTAAAATGAATTCCTGTGATTGCCTAGGCGGGTGGGGAGAGGAAGGGGGCCCTTGTACACTGGGAGGTGACATTTGGGTGTCTGATAGAGCTCACCAGATCCTAACCAGTTACTAACAAACAGAAAACAAATCGGAGCAAGAATCCCAACCCTACCAGATAAAAGGCTGGGCCAGGTTTCTCTAATGTGACTCAAGAAGCACCTCATACCAGCATAATCACCAGATTTTGAATTCCTTCTCCAACAAGGTTCCAGAGAAGCTAAATCTCTCTGGATAAAACTCTTACACCTGCATCACGCGGTGTTTGTCAGACTAGGGAACGGCACTGTTTACTGACAATTTATAGGAAGGCATTAGCATGTCCAAGTGAAAGCACCGTAGCAGCTTCATGAGTAAAACAGCTTTTCAGATAGTTTTACAAACTGATGAGAACCTCTCCCCTTCTGCTTCAGCAGTGGTATAATCAGCAGTGATTTAAAGAAAGTGAAAGGCAACTTCCTTGGATGCATTCAACAGGTGGAAGAAAGAAAAAAGTGATGCAGCAGCTTTGGGGAGTTGGCATGGGATGATATTATTATTATCATTACTATCCCGTCTGGTTTCCTCTCTCCTTTTTCATTCAAGATTAAGTTTTTGAGGATGAAAGTGTTCCTGTCAGGAAAACGTGTGTATTTTATTTAGGACAAATGTGTGAACATTTGCAATTTCTTAAACTAGCTTTCCGATGAAAGAGAAAACCCTGGAAAAACACCTCTGAAAATAAATAAGACAACCTCCCTCTGTTCTCAGGGAACATTTGATGCCTGATCCATTTTGTGAAGTCTCACATGCCTGTCAAGCCAAAGTAGAGTGTCTGTAGCTAGTCTCTCACCATCCGTGCTCAGCTACCTAAAAGCAGCAGATTGACTTTCAAATGTGCTGAATAACCAACTTCACCGCTTGATACCTTTGCAAATAAGATGCTTGCTCTACATGTCCATGTTTGGAAATTTTGGCTGAATTCTGCTCTTGCATAAACACGATACGAGATGAGGATTGCTGGTAAATGAAAACAGATCCGCAGCCTTTCTACACTAGCTCTGGTTTAAGAGGCATCACAGAAATAGCAACTATTACTAATCAAAGACCGTATCATCCCCACAAGACGGTGTAGGTCTTTAAATGAGATCTGATATCTGATAAATCTAGGTATAAGATTTTTTCATCACTGAGTACCTATTAGTAATATCAAGCCTAGAGTATACCTGATGAGTAAGTTAGAGATAATCACAATTAAAATAATTTGAATTCCAAGGCATTAATTGATTGGACAAGAGGTCATGTCAAGCAGAGATCAAATTAAGTGTAAAAATTACGTGCATTTTGAATGTAACGACTGAATGTATTCACTTAAGAAAGAGATGTTAATTTAAGAGATTTCTATAGAAACTGGGACAAGAATCCAACTTTCTTTTCTGTGCAGACAGAATAGCTGAAAAGCACCCCCAGTTGCGATAGTACAAATGCAACCTCAGAGAATATACATAAACATGGGATACAGGCATACGCAATATCCTCCATTAATGTCTGATGTGCTCTGGGAATCCATGGAGGTCTCTTGTGTGTGTGGTGGGTCTGCCTCTCCATGCATACTCCACATTTTTTTAAAGGAGCCACAAAATCACACCTTTAACTATTACACGGTGTTTTATCTGCGTGCAGGACGCTCCCCCCAAGTTACAGTTTCCCATGTTCGTGCAAACCCTTCTTATTTCATGTGCATCCTCAGCTCTTCACCTCCAGGACTGTCAGCGTTCCCTGGATTTGTTGTACATGGATAAAAGAAGCTGCCAGCTTCTTTTTCCCAATAGCTGGCAACTCTGCGCTATCTGAGGCAGCTGTTTGATAATATAGGGGCTTGGGCAGCAATAGCTTCTCGATAAGCTCCTGTCCACTGCCCCTCATGCCATCCTACTCCACAACACACGCCTGTTACTTGCGAGCAGGGGCTGTTTTCAACTTGGATAATTCTCCCCATCCACTTCCCAGCTGTGCCCACCCAAGAGAAGTGCAGGACTTTCTTATGCTGCTATTGATAACAAGGTCCCAATAAGCATTTGCAACACAGCCAGAGGGAAGCTATTCCAAATTACAGTGTGCCAGAGTCTCAATATGTTCCTGACTGAGACAAATCTTTGGCTCAGCATCACCAGAGTAAAAACAGCTGCAGCCCGAATGAAGACGCGATTCCAACATACCTTTCTTCTCGTGGCAAAAATGGCTCCACGTGCTTTTTTTTTATCCTCTCCTTTCCCATCTCACCTTCACATCACCATAAGGGAGATGATGCAGTTAAATTAACCCTGCAGAAAAAAAAAATCAGACACATGCAAAGCAAAACAATCTGTGGTGGTAGAGGACAAACCTCTTCATCTTTCCATACTTTCCACCTTGCCCACCTCCTCACTCCCCAAACAGAAAGGATACATGGAAAGGCACTTCTCCCCTCCCTTTTGCTGCTTGCTTTGTCCCCCAAAAGCCACAGCTTGAGCTACAGCGTAATGCCATAGCTTCCTACAGGAACATCTGGAAACACTTTCTTCAATAACACCTGTAGCCACCAAGCCATCAGACCTGATGCTGGTGGCATCTGTCAAGGCTGCTACAACCAGGATTTGGCCCAAAGAGAAAAGCTCCAGGGCAGCTGCTGCTGTTTCTTTCCTTCCCACCTGAAGGAACAAAGCTAGCCGAGTGTGTGCCCAGATAAGTTGTGTTTATTTGAAGGTGCAAGTAGTGATTACCGAATAGCTCCCCATGAGTGGTAAGCCTGGTTTCCTTCTGGACTTACATCCTGCGGCGGACCGTAGGCTGCAAATGAAGCTTGTCCCACAGCATACCGTGCTTCATATGGGCTCTCTGCCATGGTCTTTTATAGCTTCAGGCCGATATCACTTTTTCTAAAACCAGCTGTGTAAATATTTACTCTTTTTCACTCTTAAAGGTGTGTTTAGCTCCAAGATATTCCAGAGACCACGGATGGCAGCTTTCAGCTCTGAGCAAGTAATTTTTAAAGCTACATCCTGTGCTTGACCAAACAGATGCGGTATCATTTCTGAGAGCTGGAAAAGCCAGGCTGTCGAATAATATAACCTTGTTTTTCCTTTTCAGAACAACCAAGAGATGCCAGACCCTAAATTTGTTTTATTATTTATAGACAAACTGTTTCATACAGTATTGGAGGTTTTAAAAATGTATTATCTCTCGTGTGCCTCTCCCTCCCCTTGCACAGTTGGATTGGTGGTAACTAAGGCAACCCAGCTGCACAGCCTGAGAGGCACAGAAAATAGTACCAGTAATGACTTTTTTTTTTTTTTTTTTTTGGTTTTAAATCCCAGAGTTTCTAGCGTACAAGACAATGTTGAGCAATACAGAAACTCCAAAGAGGATAACTGGAAACAATGGGCTGATTCTTTTACTGCCATAAAAATTTACCTCAGCCAAGAATTTGGCTGGAGGGTCCGAGTACCAAAGATGAACCGTGTGATAGCTTCTTCTGTTCCCCATGGGTAGAAAACATGTTACTTTCACCAGTCAAACTAGAACCCTCAAAAACAAAGCAGGGCAGTTTTCCCTCAGGTTTTGCTCCTGGTGAGACAACCAGATCCGCAGGAGAAATTTAGATCAAAATTCTCCACATCAGACAGAGCAGCATTTCAGGTGAGGTCTTTTCTCTGGCACCAGCATTTGAAGATGGAGCAGATTCATTTATCTCCCATCTAACACACCTGAAAAAAAGCCCAAACATTCATCAGTTTCTTCATTTCAATACTTTGAAATGCAGGTGGACGGGAGCTATAGCTAGCAACAGCTACAAGCTCCACCAGTGATTTAAATGCCTGCTGAGGGACAAGCCTGCTGGGAAAAACCACTTGCGAGATTTTACAGCCACGAGGTCTTTGCCAAGTCCACAGAAATGCTCACCCCCAGATAGTGAAACTCTCCTTTGGGATAGAAACAGGGTAGAAAGGGAGTCTGGCTGTCGGAGAAGGCAGCAGCTCCAACAGGCTCCCCACCTGGACGCTCACTGTCCTTCAGAAGGGAAAGCTTTGGCCAACAGCTGGCTGAGGAACACCGGGCAGGGAGAAAAGCCAGAATTAAAGATACTCTGAAGCAAAGGTTAGGCAGTAAAACAAGAATAATAGAAGTTGCTCTCAGGAAAAAGAGGAAACTTATGGTGGAGTGATTTCCCCATGCCCAGGCCAGGGATGGATGTGCTCCTCCAGATCTTCTGGGAGCTCTTGAATATCTTGTTGAAAGGGCTTCACCTAAGGCTGTGGTAAAGTTAGATGGCAATCTTCTCTTTAATATATTTTTCCTTTTCTTTTTGGATTACTTTTGCATTAAATGCATTTTCAGAAACATATAACGTGTTAGGAACTTACCGGTTTCCCTGGATTTTATTTTTGTATTTACGTGTTTGTGAACCCAAGCTTCCTTAATACCCTGTAGTCAGCTATTGGGAAACTCAGCCTATGTGACAGCGCGTGAATCTGGGAACTACAAAGCAATACTATAATATGATAGAATTCTTGATGTTCTCATTCTTCTGAGCAGCTGTTAAGACTGCAGAAACCTGAGTGGCAAATAAAGGGATGCAAAGGACAACTGCGTGGGATACGAAGTCGTTCTACTATTGTACTGGTACAGACTTGTGAACAGCAGTTTTAGTATGAATGTTAAAATGCTCACGTTCTGCAGGGAGTTATCAACCCAGACACAGGTTCCACCCTTCATTATTACAGTGTCCAGGAGAGACTTTTATAAACTGAGCCTCCTTTCCAGAAGATATCTTCATTTGTTCTATCATGCCTTTAAAAACAAAAAGTCCAGGGTGTATCTATTCCTTTTAGTGAACAAACAATGTTTATATCTAGGATTTCACTATGTTGCCAGTGACAAATGGAACTCAAATTTAAGAGGATTTACAGCCCAGAGTTTGCAAACTAAATACGAATGTTTACTTTTGTCTCATCCATTCATCCTAGTTATGCCACAAACCTGTGATGGCATATTTATATCCTTCATATTTGTCACTCCCCCAAGCTGCAGTTTACCCCTCGGGTAGAGGAGTCGAGCTATTTAAAGGAAACCTGCACCATCTGTCACATGCCCTACTCTTGCTGACAAGTTTATCTGATGATCCACTGGAGGGAGATCCCATCGGAAGCTCTGGCAACCCAGGGCTTACGATTTCATCACTGGAGGCCAGACACTAACAGGTGCTTGTTAATATGCTGTCCCTGGCCTAACAGGCCAGGCTGAGGTTTGTTCATGTGTTTTTTTTCTCCCTCGTCTTCAAAATATCTATTTGGTCAGTACAAAATAATTACAGGATCATTTGGGAAGGGAGAAATGCCAGGATTTTGTTCCATATCAGGTCAATTGCCAAATGCTGTGCAGGCTAGAGATAAATAAAATGCAGCAATTAGTGTTTCGGAGCCTCTGAGGTGTATGGACAGGGAAAGCACCTTTAAAAGAGGGTTTTCTGTGAGTAAATAACCATCAACAGGGAAGAAGAGAGGCTGAAACAGTGCTTAAGATAAGAGAACCCAAATATATATGATTGTTGCCACACGTGGTGCCTCAAGGTGGCACATCTGATCTCTACCTAGTGCTTCAGAAAGCTAGGGGTCTTTGGTAGGTCCTCTACCATCCTGGGCAGACACATGAGAACGCTCCAGATATCTTATCTGCAGGATGAATCATCTGCTACCATTTTCAGATTAGTTTTATCTTAAAGCTTTTTACACGCTCTCGCACCAAGCTAGGCTTGTTTGGTGGCAGATACATTTTCCCCACTAGCAAAGCACCATTGTTTTCAAGGGATGCGCCCCATCGTAGATTTCATAGAGTCATAGAATCATAGAATAGTCTAGGTTGGATAGGTTGGAAGAGACCCTTGGGATCATTGACTCCAACCAGGTTTTAGGTTGGAATCTTTTAGGTTGGAAAAGACCTTTAAGATTATCAAGTCAAATCATTAACCTAACACTGCCAAGCCCACCACTAAACTGTGTCTCTAAGCACCACACCTACACATCTTTTAAATACCTCCAGGGATGGTGACTGTACCACTTCCCTGGGCAGCCTGTTCCAATGCTCGACAACCCTTTCAGTGAAGAAACTTCCCCTAATAACATATCTGAAGCTCCCCTGACACAACTTGAGGCCACTTCCTCTTGTCCTATTGCCTGTTACTTGGGAGATGAGACCAATCCCCACCTCACCACAACCTCCTTTCAGGTAGTTGCAGAGAGTCATGCTGTTTCCTCCTCAGCCCCCTTTTCTCCAGACGGAACAACCCCAGCTCCCTCAGCCACTCCGCATAAAACTTGTTCTCCAGGCCCTTCATCAGCTTCATTGCTCTTCTTTGGAAGAGCAGCTTCAGCACCTCAATGTGTTTCTTGTAGTGAGGGGCCCAAAAGTGAACATAGTACTTGACATGCAGCCTCATCAGTGCCAAGTACAGAAGGACGATCACTTCCCAACTCCTGCTGGCCATGCTATTTCTGATACAGGCCAGGATGTTATTGGCCTTCTTGGCCACCTGGGCACACTGCTAGCTCATATTCAGCTGGCTATCGACCAACACCCCCAGGTCCTTTTCTGCTGGGCAGTTCTCCACCACTCTTCCCCAGGCCTGTAGCGCTGCATGGAGTTGTTGTGACCCAAGTGCAGGACCTGACATTTGGCCTTATTGAACCTCACACCACTGGCCTCGGCCCATCGATCCAGCCTGTCCAGATACCTCTGCAGAGTGTTCCTACCCTCAGGTAGATCAACATTCCTGCCCAACTTGTTGCCATCTGCAAACTTACTGAGGGTGCACTCAACCCCCTCATCCAGATCATTGATAAAGATATTAAACAGAAGTGGCCCAAATACCAAGCCCTGGGGAACACCACTTGTGACCGACCACCAACTGAATTTAACTCCATTCACAATTACTCTTTGGGCTCAGCCATCCAGCCAGTTTTTTATCTGGCAAAGAGTACACCTGTCCAGGCCATGAGCAGCCAAAATCACTCCTCAGTAGAGGATTAATCCCTTCTTTGCTAGGGACATCCCAAGGCTCATGTGACTTCTCCAGCACTTCAGCACTAGCAGCTATTCCAAGCTGTGCACTCATAGCTTACTCCTACTCCCAGATGGGTTCGGTTCCCCAGAGATGTCGGAAGGCTGCAGTCAGGTTCACATCCTCCTCCCAAAAGCGTGCTTGATCTCAGAGGACTTCTCTATTGTGCCTTTTATTTTTTTTCTTCCCCCAATAATCTCTTCTCCTCTTCCTCCAAACAGGAGATTCAATAGTAATACTGGACTACAGGCGGAAAGGCAAATGAATCCTCCTCTTCAAGCCAACCAATTTCTCCATGAATGCTGAAGCCATGAAGTAGAGGAAAATAAATGCAGCTGTGATAAATCCTTTCTCCAATGCATTGCAGCTTCTGGTGAAGCCATTATGTCATCAGACATATGGAAAACTGGTGGAAAATATGAAATGTTTGCCTCTTACATGATAACTCTGCAACTGCTATGAATAAGAAAATTGTGTTCATCTGTTTACACAGATTTCTCATCTCTTGCACAATGTACGTGAGGATGTGTCCATGGTTAAAACTCGTCACTGGTAAATGAACTCCCTCATGAGCTTGGCACCACTCTGTAAAAGACCTGTGAATGCAAGCCAACTCTTGTTTGGATCGCCCTTCATCAAGTCTGGAAAAAATTAAGAGGAGGGATAATTTTAACAGTGCTATGACTTCCAAGCTAGCTAGATAACAAATTGGGCTAACAAGGACTGTAATTAGGAATGTCTGCTCAGAAAGTTCACCGTGAAGCCAAGTTCTTCTAACGAGAAACATTCTGGAATATTAATATGCATAATATCTCTCCTCCATTTCAACAGGAAATCTGAACACAACACTTTCTTCCTTTTTCTTGGTTTCAGTTAATCTTGCAGCAAAAGTAACCTAATTATACTGACTGTATGATTGCTTTGACAGAAAGCATGTTAATTTAAAGCACTGTTTAACATAAAGCTGCCTGCCATATAATTACACTCCATTCACATGTTTACTAATCTTGCTCAATATAGTTGATTTCTGTTATTAGCCTCAACATCTCGTTAACATCTAAAACACTGCAAACTCCAATAAACAGGCAAACCCGACAGTAGAGCAAGTGTTCCTTAATGGTCAACATGAAAAAAAGAAATATCTCGTGTTATTAGCCTTGCATTCAAATGAGGATTTGAAACTAGCTGCAGTACTTAAAGGAAGATCTAACTCCATCTCCGTTGCCAAAAGCCCTGGCTTACAGCTACCGTGCGCGCAGTTCACCCGGGTGTTATTTTCATCTTTCGAATGCTGCTGGAGCTTAGTGAAAACGAAACACATTGTAAGCCGCCTGTGAGCAATAAAAAAAAAAATAATAATAATACTGTGTATACATAAGACTGTTCTTCTCACATGTTAAGCACCTGATAAAATTCTAGTCTGGGAAGTTAACGCACTAGGGCTAGGCTGTAAACTAAGTTAACTCAATGAAAAATGTGCGTGCATTCAATAATTCCCAGCTTATCTGGATAACTCACTCCAGCTAACTTTGCAAGTGGAATGTAAGCAATGATATATACACACCTCTCCCTCCTTTTCTGTTGATGCTAAAGGAGAACGTGGAAAGAATTCAGCTGAAAGGTGCTCATCAAGGGAAATATTTCAGAGAGACAGGCAGAGAAAAAGCCATGAAGGGAATTAGGGAAGAGGAGAAAGTTCAGGAGACGACCTGTGCAGATTTTTGGGGTATTTCTCTCTCTCTCTTTTTTTTTAATTATTTTGTACTGATAGTCCAGCGCAAACAGTTTAAATGTGGAACTCAAAACAAAGCCTGGGCCCTGACAGGGAAGGGGCAGTTGTTCCCACGTCCAGCCAGAGGAGCTGAACAGCAGATCCCATCCCCAGCTCCTGCTTTGGGAGCAGGATTACCTTTGGCATCTGGCACGCTGCCTGCGCTGCTGGACTACGGGGGTTTGGGGAACATCAGGAGGGAGGTTGTTTCTTTCTTTCAGAAGGGCTGAGAAGCAGCACTGTTCTCTGCTACGTCCTGCATGGAGAGGCTGGATCCCAGTCACGCTCTTTGGGAAAGCAACCAGGAGTGTCTGTCCCCAAAACACAACTGTGGGCACCTTGGGGTTGCTTTCCTCCATCCTCTGATGTGCAGGTAAGGATCCCTGTAAGGAAAAAAGCCTGCATCCTTGCTCACAAACCAACATTTTCCCTGTGATTTCAAAAAGGCCTTACTGAGGGACTCTGAGTAAGGGCCTGGCCTTTGCCACTTTTACACTAGATTTCTCTTTCCAGTCTGTTTCTCTCCTCTCATATTTTATTTTGAGTACGTATGCAAAGTCAGTCAGAACTGTTTATTTATAGCTGTAGATTTTTCATGGCCGTATAAATTAGATGTTATTACTGAATGAGATGCCCGCCCACTCACCCGGTGCAGCTGTACAGGAATCCTTTCATGCTGCTCCACAGAACACGGGCTCAATCGGGAGGGCAAATGACATGCTCCCAGTCAGACAGAGGGACCGCTGCTTAAACCCTCGGGCAAAAAAACAGCAATTAATTTTTTCCACTGTACAATGTGCAGTATGACAACCACAATTACCTAATACTATTTAGACCTGCCGCTTTTTTTTTTTGCCAGAGAGAAAAAACGAAGGTTTAAATTCACCAGAGCAAAACCCCCCCAAACTAGAGCCTACTCCTGCGTTTTCTTTTCACAAGATTAAGTGATTTTTTTATTCTTTTTTGGAGGGAGTGAGGGAACACGGACAGTCAGGGGAAGTAAAACCGGTTGTTATTTGATAGAGCACCATCAGAAAATAAGGACCAATCCCATAAATACAGAGCTATTTCCAGCAGAAACAGCTGGAAAGCAATATCCACCACGACTCGGAGCTTTCATCTTCGCTGATACCTTTGTAACAGTTTACTCTCTCAAAAAGCACAGGCAAGTGCTAATTTATTCCCTCCCCAATTTCCCACACAAATTTCTTGGTTTGGGTCTCTGCCAGAGCTTCAGGGTCACAATCTGACCTCAATAACATAACTTAGGATTGTTCCAAGCCTTCAGTGGAACTACTGAAGATTTACTTTGATGGATAAGGGGCCAGGATCCGGCATGCAGAAAATATGCATTTACATTCTACCAAAGTGTCTAAAATAGTTGCCCAGGGAGGCTGAAATTCAATTTAAGACCTTGTATTCACTTGGCAGAGCACATAATTAAATATTTTGTGCCACAAAATTAACCAGAGAGTCCCAGGGGTATTGGTAAGAGGAGGCTTAGAATCAGCCATGAGAGCCAAACTAAGACCCATTTCCCAGGCAAGTTATTCAGTAAATATTGGGAAAAAAAATCATTGCATTCATATATGGGTTCATAATAATTTTTGTTACTATTTAATTTTACTGGTTATCTGCTTACCTCAAAGGTCATTGGCTGTGTGGATTCATATGAATAACCCCAATAGCAGATTCTGCTCTTGAGCTGAGGCTACTGCTGACAGCTAAGAACTGTTTGTGACTGAATTAGCTATTTGGAGAAAACAGCAGGTAAAAACCAGATACAATTACAACAGATCAGACCTCATGATCAGGGATTGAAAGCTTCTAAAGTGATTTTTTTTTTGGCCTTTTTAAAGTCTCTGGAGGCCTTACCTTGCAAGGAGTTCAGTGTTTCCAAAAAGCAAGCCAAAATACCTAAGGTCTTTAATGTCAAAATGTTCAGTTTGATTTCCACACATTCATGTTTGAAAACCTATTTGAGTAAAATCTCTAGCATATGGCCCAATAATAGTTCAGAGCTATAAAATTTAACAATAATACTTGATATTTCAGTGTCATCTTCTACCAAAGACTCTCAAAATGCTTAGCAAACCTTCAAGCTCCTTTCCCTTTGAGAAGGTAGTTTCCCTCAGTGTGTAGGACAATCTGGTTTTGCTGTCAGTGAGGACTGTGTTCCTCAAGGAGAGGAAACAAGACCTACATACACAAACACACACCTGCTTTCCTTTTTGAGATGCTTATTCAGGTTTGTGGCGCGGAACCACCTAGGGATGATGCCATCGCCAGCTGGTAGGTTAAGGGCATCTTTGTCATTTAGTCTACTAAGAGATGGCCTGCTACAACATACTGCCACTTCTGCCTGTGTTTGAAAACACCATTTTTTCTGGGATCAAACGCTCTGGTAGCAGCATCCCCTGGCTCTGACACAGTGGCACAACACAAGGAGACAAGGAGAGGGTCCATCTGTGGAGAGTTCAGGCCCCGGGCTATAAACCTTGTGCTGCTGGTAGAGGGGACTGTCCCCAGGCACCTGTCCTACCAGCTTAGAAGAGACCCTTCCCACACCAGGGGCAACTGCGTGGGCAAGCACAATCTCCCAGACCTGTGGCTGGAGCTCTCACCCAGAGGCTTCCAAGGTCTTGGGCTGTTCTTCTCCAGGTGAATCACCTTTCCTCGAAGACAAATTGTGGGAACTCCCAAAATGATGGGAGCAGTCTCAGCTGTTGGCTCAGAGCTGGGGTTACAGGGCAGGGATGTGCACCCTGTTCCAGCAGGCCCAAGAATCAGTGCCAACGCGGGCCACGAGGAGCCTGTAGGCAAGAAGCACTCCACGCTTAAGCGTTTTTTTCTGTGGGGCTTTTCTAGAGGCTGAAGGAGGAGGAGGACAATCTTGGTGGGGTGTCTTTAAAGGGGACAAGAACCCCCCCAAACTTTAATGCGGGGGTATCGCTGCCGCCGGCGCCTCACACAGAAAAACGGATCAAAAATCAGGAAGATTCTGACAGTTTTGGTTATTCTAACTCGCGTCCTTTCCAGAATTGGGGGGGGAACACGGGACCCGCAGGGGGCGGGGCGGGGCGGCCCCACGGCTCCCGAGGCGCCACAGCGCCCCCTGGTGGAACGCCCCGGCCCCGCCGCCCGCCCGCGCCCCCGCGGAGAAGCGCGGAAGCTGCCGAGCAAAGTCCCGCGGCTGCGCTCCCGCCCCAACGGCGCCAACGGGACCCGAAAGCCGCCTCCCCCATCCCCAGACCCCTTTTTTGGGGGTCGTTGCAGCGTTATATGCAGTTGTGGAAAAGCTGCAGCTGTGGGTTATTTCAAGGTTAATTACGACGCTCGGGAATGCTGCAACAAGGGGGTCTCTTCAACATTATAAGATTATAAGCGGTGCTAATTAACATGTCACTACAACACACACACACACACCCCCCGGAATTTGCTACAGATGCACTGGGCATTTTACTCTTCAAGCCCAGCTGGAGGCTTTTGGGCACAGGCACTAATTTCACCCCCACGTCGGGGAAACCCCCTCAGTGGTCCCACCGTGTCACCTCCCAGCCACCCAACATTGTGTTATTAAGTCAAAAATCACCGGGAAGAATACATAGAAAGTCACTCATGTAACAATCATGTGCAAGAAGAAAGAAACAAAAGTTAATAGAGCACATTATTTTTATCCATAATCTCAGATTTGGGATTGTTGTGCCTTTTTTTTTTTCTTCCTCTTTTTTTTTTTTTTTTTTTTAAAACAGCTGTTTCCAAATAGTTTTGACCTTGAATCACACATACCTTCGAATGGCTCCCAACCCTTTGAGGAACAGCCCCCAGGCTCCAAACCGTTCCATGGCTAAAGCTTTTTTCTTTTTTTTTTTTTTTTTTTCTTTTAAAACAGCTGTTTCCAAATAGTTTTGACCTTGAATCACACATACCTTCGAATGGCTCCCAACCCTTTGAGGAACAGCCCCCAGGCTCCAAACCGTTCCATGGCTAAAGCAGCCTCCTTGTTGTTCGCTGCCAAACAATGGCCATTGTTCCTGGAGGATCCAGCCAAAAATAATACGATATGCAACTGCCTTCCCACTGTTGTCTTTGCGAAAGTACTTATAAGTTCCAGAGATGACTTTATGGATGGCGTACAGCACAAATAAACCAAATCGGGGCAGAACAACTTGAAAAGCATGTAGAAACAGTGGAAGTGGGTGGAGTAGGAATAAGAAAGTGATAGGGGATGGAAGAGAATAAAAACATTATGAGGAAGAGTTTGTATTAAAAGATAGTGAAGTGTTTAAGTTAAGCAGCTGTTTTTATGTTGTTGTGTAAGTGAAAACAAAATACAAATATTTGATTATCATATGGTTAAAGACTTGCATACTACTCTTGAGCAGGTTAGTTGTGCTTTTGCACCTTAAATGGTGCTTTTATGTGACTCTGATTTTAGAAAGAAATTAGTTGCAAAGGAGGAAAAAGAGAAGGATAAAAAATTGACAAGTTTTCTCTTTTAGACTTTTTTCCTCTTCAGCTTTTACCACAGCTTTGCCAGTGTTGGTTCTCAAGACACAAACATCAGTTTGAATGAGTATTTGTGAGAGAACATGAAGTGGCTACCCCCCCTCCTGGTTGGGGGAAAGAAGTTGTTGGAAGATGAATTATCTGGAAATTATAGGCACCACAGACACACAATTAAATGCACACAGCCTGTGGCTCACGGGCGGTCTGTACCCTATTCAAAACTTTGCAGAAAAGCATACAGGCAAAAAAAAAAAAAAGGGAGTTGATCCAAAGTGCCTCCTTGGTTACTGAATTTATTTCCTAACTGCTGTTCAAAAAACACCAGTGGAGGACCAGCGTAGCTTTTCTGCTATCAACAGTCTAGGCTGCAAGAGAGGCATCTTGGTCAACCAGTAGAACTTCATATTGCTGTTGTCTGTGCTTACATTTTCTGATATAAAATAAAGATCATACATCTTCCATCAGCAATACATTTATCTTACCGACAAAGCAAGCCATTAAAGAAAGGACAAATCCATATGCATACTGTACACTGGAAGAAAGTTTGAGTTTCAAGTTTTCTTCCACGTTTCTACTTCTAGTCATCAGTCTGCTGTGTCACACCAAGTCTCAGTTCTAGATCCTGATGCAAATTTAGAGTTGAACTTTGATCTAATCCTGAAACAAAGGTGTAGGAAAACCCAAAATGAGCTCAGAAAAGCCACCTCAACTCTTTCAGGTGAAAGTTAGTTTTTTAATTTTTAAAATCCATTTTGAAATGCTGGCAAGTACTGAAGGTCATGTTTCCATGTAACGCTACCCAGTGACAACATATTTACTAACCGCAGCGTATTTATTGCTCACAAAACGTTGCAAATGCTGGTTGTAATGGGCCTCTGTTTGGCCATTACTGGCTATTTGATAAATAACCTGCAGTGTTAGATGGTCACAGAAGAATAACTGAGGAACACAGTGGGAGGGGAAAAAGAGGAAAAACCCTCAATCCCAAGTGGCCAGCAAGACCAGGCTGCGGGAGAGACTCAGTTATGCTCTCTCTTTAAATATGACCATCCCTTATAAGGGAAAAAATCCATGACGAACGTAAAGCACCATCTGTAGGCAAAGCCTGTGCCATTCAGATGCATCCTCCAAGCTCTCTCCCTCATGGCATGTCTATATGCTCACCATATAAGTATGTGCCACTGAAGGTACAGCTGCAGCAACTTCCTCCTCGGGGAAGCCAGAATTTCTACGTCTGGAGAAACAAGCACATGGGTCCAGGTCTGACCACCCCAGTCCAAGCTGCTTCCAGAGCTGAAGAAAAGGGAAATGACTTGGAGGAAACTGTGTGGGACATCATTCCGTCAGTGTGCTCTTGTCATCAGCTAGAAAAACCCCAAACAAACTAGTCACAAGGGAAATGAGGTTGATCTGGTCATTATGCTGACAGAAAAAAATGGATTTCCTTTCAGTGGTGGTGGTGTCTTTTAGGAGTTCCTGGTTTGTTTTGCTTAGTTACTGGGGTTTGGAGTTTCCCAATTATCAGAGCACTCACAAAGCACTCACTACGTTCTCTGTCTGTGCATGCGAGTCCCATCTCCTATTCCCCGATGAGAAAGGCTTTTTTTTTTTTTAACAAATTGATAAGATGGAATTTTCCCATGCAGTTGCTATCAGGGAACTGGAGCACTGCATGGCATGTTAGCGATGAAAAAATGTGCTTACACTCTTTCTAACTTGGACTAGCCCTCCAGATGTTCCTCCTCCTCGTCTCAGGGTCAGAGCGAGACCGGGAAACATCTCCCAGGCTCCAGCACTGGCATTGCTGTAGAAAATGGCAGACGCGGCCTCGTGCCCTGGATTTGGTCCATTTGCACATCTGCCTTAACTGATGGGGAGTTTCAACGGAGCAGAAAAAAAGCAGCAGCTGAAGGAATGAAAAATGAAGTGCTGTATTGAACATCAGTAACAAGCTCATGAAACCCAGGCTCTGTATCTTATTTGTGTATTGACTCGTACACTTTGAGGAGCAATCAGTAAACCGTGATTTCCCTCAGACAGGCTGAAGATATCCGAGATGTGGGCTTGCAATGCAAAGTATGCTCATGCTGGGGCTCATATGGGAGGGTTTTCCTGTGGGAAAGCAGCAAGGGGCGAAAGGGAATTCACCGCTTGCCAACACAAAACACCTAAAACTCCCAAAGGGTTGAAGAGGAGATTTAGGCTTGGACAAACAACGCAGTCGTACATTAATTTCATAATTAACAGAGGGCTTCCCACTGCTCAACTCCACTTATGGTGAGCTTTTGGTTCTCCGTGGCGTTGGGAGCAGCCAGGGCTTTCCAAGGGCAGGCACAGCCGGCAGCAGGCCACGTCTTTCAACAACGTGCTGCTATGGGCGGGCAGCGTGGGCCAGCTCAAGGGCCTGCTTCCTGCTATTGTTATCCCTACGGCCCTGGAATTTCATCCAGATGGATTTGACCCCTTTGCTAAACAGCCCGTGCATACCTCCCTGGTTAGGGGATTCCTGCACGTGGAGAGGACGGAGTCAGGGGGAGGGAGTGGAAGGAGGGAGGCTTCCTCCATCGCTGCCACAGCGACTCGAGCGTGTTTCTACGCACCCAACTCCAGGTTCGGCATGCAACTTTGAGGAACAACAGCTCACCCATCCAATGGGGAAGGGGTCCATTCGTCTCGGGTGCGCTCCACCAGCAGTGATGGCTGAAGGGAAGAGAAAACAGAGCACAAAGGATACGGTTCTTCACCCAGTTTGCACTTGCTTGCAGAAGAATTTTAGTAGGTGCCACTTCTGCCCTATGCTCTAGGAAAATCTGTTATTTCAAATTCTCAACTTCTATTCCAGGGCATCCCCTTGTCCCCTGGAGGGGTTGGAAATGTTAGGACCACTTCTCTCAAAACTTGGGTTCCAACTTCCCATGCCTGTCTTAAATAGAAAGAATGAACAAGGAAGCCTTCTTACCTCTTTTTTTTCCTCCTTTCCTCCTCCCAGACTTGGCTCCTGAGCAGATTCCAATCACGCACCTTCTACAAAAAGCCATTTTCCCTCTCAGGGTTCCCCCTCCTCCTTCCCCTCAGGGCCTCCCAGAAGTACCATTCCTCTTCCTTCTCCTGTTCTAAACTTCTGCTCCAAGGAAACTTTGTAAAACATTATTAACCCTACCTAATGAAATCATCTACAGTTTGCCACGTATCAATAGATTTTTTGGCATGCCAGGGCCATGGCTTCTTTGTAACTCTAAGCAAGAGGAAATGTCAGAGGATAATAATCACAGATTCTGTTTCAGCAGACTGACCTTCCTCCTAAGAGCATATTAAACAATACTTTGTTTGAATAGATCGCCAGGTACTTCGGGTAGGAACTTCAGTTGGGTGTCAGCATAGCTCTATTTGAAGTTAGCGGCATCATGTCGATTTAAGTCTGGAATCACTGACTCCAATCATTATATGCTGCCATAATGTGACTCTGTACTGTGGCTCTTTCATCTAAGAAAATCTAAATATCCCCAAAAATATTAATTAAGCCTAAAAATGGGATAAAAACTCTAGTACTGCAGTGAAACTGAGTACTAAGACCCAGGTACTCCATGACACCCACTGCTTCTGGATGGGTGCATGTAAAAACATGTCTAGACTGGATTGTCAGTACAACTCAGCACAGAAGTAGTCAGGGGAAATGGTTGATAGAGAGTACTTTTGATGGCCAGGTCATAGGGGTCTCACGGCAGATTACCCTTAAATAGAAAAATATATAAACCAAAAGCTACTTTTAAAACACGTGAAGCTAGAAGCCCTGGCCAGAATGCTCCAGACTTATCAGAAGAGGATCTGGGTCTCCTGGCTCCTGGCACAAGACCCTCATTTTATTCCCTTTGTCTTCACTGGGCTTTGGATCAATCCATGCAAAAAACGTTTCCTCTGCACTGGGCTTTAACTCTGGCCATCCCCTCTACTATGCATTCCTGCACAGTCACATGCTGTTATTATGGTTTTAATTAGTAAAGGTTACACAGCTATATCTATTGTTTCAGTAAAGTTTTGGCCACAAAGTTCACATGGTCGTACCGAGCTGAAAAACCAAGGTTATCAAGTAATCAAGCTGAGCACATTTGTTGTAATTACAGCTCCCTATTTGTTTTATTCACACACACTCACCTTCCTCTCCTGCCCTCCCTTCTCCCAAACCCTACACCCAGCTTACCAGCTCGCAGCAGTTTATTGTTGCTTTGTTGTGAGCTGTGACCCTGCATGGTGTAGGCAGCTGAATGAAGTCCTATCGCTGTACCAATCTAAGCTGACACTTTGACAGGGGCAACAGGGCTCTGCCTTGGCAATGACTGATGCTACAGCAAAGAGGCACCATTTGAACGGATGGAGCACGTTGTTTGTGGCTGTGCTGCACTGGGTTCACCTTCAAGCCAGGCTGCTCTTAGCCAGTAGATTCAAATACCATAATTGATTGAGAGTTCTTCCTGTGCCAAAAACAATTACGAGAGATAAAACAGGGATTTGGATGTTCTTCCCCTTTCTCTTTCACCCAGACTCTAAAGAGACAAACAGCTTCATCCCACATACACACAATCAGGTATTTTGAAACAGGAGTGCACATAGAAGACTGAAATTCAGGGACAAATTCTGTTCTTAGTCACACTGGCAATTAGTCATGTGTAAACCACACCAAAAAACTTTCCTCTTTTACTGGAAAAAAAAAAGGTTATATCTGATAATCTACATAAAGTGATGATTACTGGACACATAACTCCTTATGGTTGTTTTCTTATTTACTTTTTACCTGTCTTGGATTGTGTCATTGAGCAAGTCCATTTGACTTTTGTATTCAGCCTGTCAGTTTTGGTTCTTAGGAATTAGCATGAGGTCGTTATGTTTGGATTGCTGCAATGAATGTCAATATTCAGAATTTGCAATAGATTAGCTTAAAATGGCTTACTAATTGATCTACTTCAATACCTGGAAACTCTTATGTGGACAGTCTTACCTATTTAAGCCTTGCTTGGTTCAGTTTAATTATGCTTTTTAGAGATCCAGCTTACTAATAAGCATAGTTTGCTATTCCACTCTGCTTTTCACTGTCTTTAAATGCCATGTTGAAAAACTGTGGCATTAAAAGTACTTCAACTTGTGTTCCTTTTGTTTGTGTTCTGCCCAGTAACCCATTAGGTCCCATGCTTTTCTCAGAAGCAAAATGAAGACCAGAATCCTTTTTTCTGCCTTTTGTGCTCTAATTATGAAAAAAAACCAAAAACACACCCAGATTTTCTTATAACTAAATGACACCAGAAAGTGGAGCTTAAACACCAAGCTGCCCCAACAGTTCACAGCAAAATTGGAGCTTGGAACACAGCTATTGTACTCCGTAAAAACAGTCCGGTGCACAGTCCACAATTAGCTCTCACATTTGCAGTGTCAAGGAAGTGTACACCCAGGTTTGACCTTAGCTTAGTGTCAGGCTAAGACTACACACGTGGTTAGGTACTCAGGTGACACATGGCAGTTGTTAAAGCCCTCGAGCATCTCTGGGAGGGAATCAAGCCAGGTGACCCAGAGGTGCTAGGCAGGGAGTACCAGTGTCTCCCTGGAACAACAACCTCTTCCCAGAGACCAGCTTTTGTTCTTTAACTTCCTCCACTAATTTATTTCTCAACAGCTTCTCCATATAGAGGAGCCTGAAGGAGCTCCTCTTGAGCTCTTTAGCTTGAGAGAAAAGGATGCCAGCTATCCTCAAATCCAGCAGTGATCCCTTCCTCAAAAACCTGTTTCACACAAGGTTTATTCATGGGCCACACAGGTCTATTGTTTGTTAGCAAAACACTTCGTGCCTGTAGCAGTGTGGCTACCTTCTTTTTCATAAATGCAACCACAGAAAAATCACATTCAGTTTAATGAAACAGTAAGATCTATCTTTTTCTCAAGAATTAAAGGGATTTCAAATACAGTGGTGAAATCAGACTTTTACAGATCTCAAAACAAATGGACCCAGATCCCCTGAGAAAACTATTCTTGGAATTCCCCCCCAAAAAATAAGGAAAAACATGTAGGCAATTCTCTGATAAGAGATCAGAGGTCAGATCTGATAGAACAAAAATTGTCCATTTACTCTCTCTCAGAAAAATAAGGAGGACAATATGTTCAGGATTCCTCAAAAAATTTGTGCAAGAACTAACTTACTTTGGAAACAGAATGGTAATTAGTATCCTTCTTCTCGAGCATCTGTTTTGCTTTCCCAGGTAATGTGTTTTTAAGCACAGTATTGATTAGCTTTGATTTAATGCAAGTTTTTCTGTGACTACTCACTCATAATGAAGAAGATTTTTTTCCTCCTCAAATGCAAATTAGAAGCAATATTCTTTTAAAGCAGTAGATATCAAACCATATAATGACTTGCGCCTGGAATTTGACAGTTCAGAAGTTAAAAGAAAAAAATTATTATTTATTCTTAATAAAAACAAATTTTAATTCTCTCTTCATTATGCCTACTGTTTTTAATTCCCTCTCTTTCGTATTAGTAAAGGCTGTAGATAATCTAAATTGGACAGTGGATGGAGACACAAAGTACATTCAGAATCAATTCACAGTGGTAAATATCAACCATATTTAATTTGACTGTGTGAGAGAAACAACACCTAGTTTGCCTGTCCTGAGCAACCTTTTGTTTATTTTGCAGCACAGAACAGTTTGCATTTTGTTAAAACCAGTGCCACTAACAGAAAGGAACAAGTGCTACTCACCAAGCCTAATTTCTAATGCAGTTGGTCTGTCACTGTATCAAATCTGTATCAAGATGAAAAAAATGAGTGGCATAGATTAGTTTTGCACTGGAGATCTGTTGCTAGCTATTTCATTGCTGTGCTCTGAAAATGCTTGCAATTAAATCTGACAGACACAAGAAATTACTTAGTGTTATGCTCACACAATGCAGAGCTCCCGCAGAAGTCCAGGACATGAGATGCTCCCATTTCAGGCTTCTTTTGCTCCTCAGTGGAGGGTGACAAGGACATTATTGCACGAGGACTACTTAGTTAATGAATCCAGACTCTGGTTCAGTCCACACTCACGTGGGACATCCAGTTATGGCAAAGCTGTGTAGCATGGAGAAAGGCAGGATGCCATTGCTTGTGCCAGCTGGATTGCCTGAGGATACTCTGCAACTGAAATAGAGGTGATAAAAAGATCATGGCCACCTTCTGGTAGTGAACCTTCTGAGACGAGGTCCCATTCATTTTCTGTTTAGCTGACTTGATGTTACACACTCTGCAAGTAGAAGAAAGGCAGACCAATTAAATCCTTTGGTTGATATTTTGGAAAGCTCTTTTGTTGAGATGGTTGGTTTTGGTTTCCCCCCCCCCATGAATAGCATTCTCTTTCTGCCTCTGCTATTCAGTTTCTCCAGCTCAGCTTCTCCATCTCTTTCTTTAATGCCAACCACGTACTAAGAAAGGAACATAACAGAGAAAGATTTAGAAGTTCCTTAAAACCAAACCCTTTAGCTAAATCTATCTGTGCATTCCCAATTTCTGCGAGTACAACACGAGGATGAAGAGACCTCTAGAAAGCACCATGATCCTTCACAGCCTTTGAGTCAGCTTTTCAATTCTTTTCTTTCACTTTGTGTGAAAGAGTTCAATGAACCTAAAAGAGCATTTCTTATTAGAAATTTTAAGAAGTGCTTAAAAAAACCCACTGTGGTAAGGGGACAGAAATGAGAACTCTGTGTAATGGATACAAAATATTTTAGCACTGGAGATGACGGCGGAGACTTACTTTTTATTCCACAACTTGCCTTTGCTATTTTCTCTTACGATCTCCTGCATGTCATAAACATTCACAGTGCTCTTCTGGTGGTGAGGCTGCAGAGGCTGTACAGGCAGTAGCCTTTTCCTGCAACAGAAAGCCAGCTTTTATTTATGCCATGAGTATTCTACGCTATATAAAGATGCCAAGTTGTTTGGTTGTGTGGTGTTGGAGTGGACTTTCTGTTTCTTTTTTTTTTTTTTTATTAAAGTGATACGTGTTTTAGAAAACATTCTTGCTTGCTCAAAATGCTAAGTAACTTCATAGTGTCTCACAAGGAGGAAATATAACTAGTAGTCATCTTTTAAGAAGTGAAAACTGGCACATGAGTAGCAATAGTGCCTCATGCAGTATAATTGCTGGTATTTCAAAAGGTGACTGTGTAAGCATGGATGTCTATAAGGCACCCTGCTGTCTGCATGCTATTTGAAAGTTGCTGTGGTT